GTGGCAGCCTACGAGTAATTTACGTACAAAAGATTATAGGAAAATAATATTGTATGGTTTTAAAAACTATGTGATACAATATTGATATCGTAATTATATAAAAATCCGAATCGGTAACTGAAAAGAAAAAAATCTAAAACGCCAAAATGTATTACTATTCTGTTTAGGTTTTTAAAGATATTGTACTCGTAAAAATATTCAAAGGAATAGCGGATGATATGCGTAGAATCACAGGAGGCGTTGTTAACTTGAGGAGCAGGAGCAGGCTTAGGGACCTCGGTAACCGTACTCATCGAACTCGACAAAGAGTTCGCCGTGCAACCTAACCCATGAATCAGCTCGCTGAGTTTCTCGCCGGATCTTCTCAGCGGGTCGCGATTCCGATCCGGTAGTAGATTCATTCGCGAAGCAGCTACTTTTGAGCTGTTAGGTCTCCTTCGGAGGCGCTCGGGTAGCTGTTAGCAAATCCCACCCCTCCTGGCTGAGCCGTTGCTCGCCCACCTGTCCTGGTGAAACTGGAAAGGCCTCCGGGCCACCAGTAATCCTTCAATCATAAAAAAAAAAGCAGCAAGTTGCTTCATCCAGTTTTCCTAGTTCCGATACGACTATTCAAACAAACATAGAATACACGCTTTACGTCACAATAGATAAAATGATTATAGATTTTGTTATCTTGCTAATCCGATAGTTTCCAAAGATTAGTAGCAAGAGTAGCAATAACGACGTGTGACCCTGAAAAAACATACTAACTAATATTAATACGTGAAGCAAAAACTTTGTATCCCTTTTTACGAAAATTGCGAGGACAGAGCAGTATGAAATTTTCCACACTTATAGAGAATATAAAGAAGAAGTGCACAATGCTAATATTTTTTTTAAATAATGCATAACAGATACATTAAATCAATAAAGAAAACATTACACACACTATGACTATACACCATGTATTTGACGCACACACGCATGCATACTATTTATTGTCAAACTTTTGTTCTTGACGTCTGTTGTCAAATTTCGAATAGATTAAATATTGTTTGTCTTTATTAATATTTTTTTTAAAGTGTAGTCTTGGCGAAATTTGTGATTATAGAAGTATAAAATAGAATCATAATAGTGTACAAACTTACAATTTCAATTATAGTCGAATTTCGACTACTGCTGGGCCTCTAGTATTAACTAACATTCCGATGAGACACGTGTCTGTCGAAACGCGCTTAAAACCAAACACTTATTTATTTTTTACCTAATTATTATCACAAACTATACAATGACATACTATATTATTATTATCACGTACTATATATTTATAATACTAACGTATCTGTGTTTAACGAAGCAGTAATGCGTTTCGGTTTGAAGGGTGGGTCAGCCGTTGTAACTATACTGAGACCTTGGAACTCATATCTCAAGGTGGGTGGCGGCATTTAAGTTGTAGATTTCTAAAGGCTCCGGTAACCACTTAACATCAGGGGGGCCGTGAGCTAATCTAAGCAAAAAAAAAAATCAAACAATTAAGATAAGAATAAAATAATAATATTGTACTAAGACCTTAGAACTCATATCTCAAGGTGGGTGGCGGCATTTAAGTTGTAGATTTCTAAGGGCTCCGGTAACCACTTAACATCAGGTGGGCCGTGAGCTAATCTAAGCAAAAAAAAACATCAAACAATTAAGATAAGAATAAAATAATAATATTGGGCAATCGAATAATAAAAATAAAATTAAAAAATCTACCTTGCTTATAAATCTATTTTTTGCTAATAATAACAATCTCATTCAATTTTAAAAAAAGCAGTTGTGTTGTTGTTTTGAAGAGAATGCCGAAAGATATAAACAATGTTTATTCTAAAGGGTCTCTATACAAAAAACGTGTTACTAAAGCAAAATTTTATCGTAACACAGTCGCGTTGGATCTTGAAATTCTGAAGCAATCAATACTAGCACTGATTTCCTTGAAACAGATTGACGGAAAAATAGAATACAGTAATTGAATTATATCACTCATTTTAGCGGATAATCTTTCTAGTGACCATCTGCGTATCAAATCTATTGATTAAGTGTGATATATTTAAATCATTTTAGCGGATAATGTTTCTAGTCGATGTATGATTGATGCATATGTTTGAGCTTGACAAATTATCATTAGTTATTACCGTTATTTATTAATTAAGTTATGTAAGTCGTTTTGACTGAGACTATTTCTAAGAACGATATCTATGCGTGATGTCATTTCAAATCAGACGGGATACGTGATCATCACTTGGATCGAAATTACAATTTTTTAATTGCCTGCCTTGGTCGGTGTTTTGCTTCAATTTTCATTTCAGTTTCTAAGGGTGGACGAGCTCACAGCCCACCTGTTGTTAAGTGGTTACTAGAGCCCATAGAAATCTACAACGTAAATGCAACACCCACCTTGAAATATAAGTTCTAAGGTCTCAGTATAGTTACAACGGCTGCCCCACCCTTCAAGCCGAAACGCATTACTGCTTCACGGCAGAAATAGGCGGGGCGGTGATACCTACCCGTGCGGACTCACAACAGGCCCTACCACCAGTAATTACGCAAATTATAATTTTGCGTGTTTGATTTTTATTACACGATGCTATTCCTTCACCATGGAATTCAATCGTGAACATTTGGTGCTTACGTATTTCATTAGAAAAATTGATGCCCGCCTGCGGGATTCGAACACCGTTGCATCGCTAGATACGAATGCACCGGACGTCTTATCCTTTAGGCCACGACGACTTCAAAAATAACTTTCCACTTTTTGCTTCAGACACAGCGCCGTCAATACAATAAGTTCAACTTCTAAATTAAACGGCTCCATGCTAGCTAGCTCTAGGGTCAGTACCGGAAACACATACGACAAAATTAGATTCATTCGCGAAGCAATTGCTCTTGAGTTGTTAGGTCCCCTTCGGAGGCGCTCGGGCAGTTGCTAGCAAATCCCACCCCTCCTGGCTGAGCCTTTGCTCGCCCACTTATCCTGGTGAAATTGGAAGGGCCCTCGGGCCACCAGTAATCTTTCAATCATAAAAATTTTTACGACAAAATAAGGAATTCAATTGGACCAAGAAAACTAAATCTTTCTACAAAGATATTCCAAGCGGCAATCTAAGTTATTATTATTGTATTTTATTTTTTGTTTAATTACCATGAATTTGCTAATTTAGCGTTATCGATTCTACATATAATGCTACACGTAATACAAATATTACGCAATCATCTTGGACATTAATCTTATAAAAAGAAATATAATTATTACATGTATTTGATCATTATTGTTTGAGATTGTTTTGAAAATTGCCTTTAATGCAGGAATAATTAGTTTTGATAACGGGTCGCTCTATCTAGTTTTACGGTTCTGTACATTTTATATCACATGAATGTTCTCCAAGGCTCATTGGCTTGAACAAAGTTAATGTTCATTTGAGTTACTGCAAGTGTGCCCCTCCGCATCATCCCATAAGGAACTTCGTTCCAAAAAAAATAGACCTTGCTTTTTTTCAAATTTACCCCGCGAGCGGAATACGACTACTACCCAGCTTGAGGCATGAGGTCAAAATCTCATTAGTTATTTTTTTTGGTTGAAAAATTACTGGTGGCCTAGGGGGGCTTTCCAGTTTCACCAGGACAGGTGGGCGAGCAAAGGCTCAGACAGGAGTTGTGGGATTTGCTAACAGCTGCCCGAGCGCCTCCGAAGGAGACCTAACAACTCAAGAGCAGTTGCTTCCCGAATGAATCTACTACCGGATCGGAATCGAGACCCGCTGAGAAGATTCGGCGAGAAACTCAGCGGGCTGATGCATGGGTTAGGTTGCACGTCGACCTCTTTGTAGAGTTCGACGAGTACGGTTTCCGAAGTCCCTATGCCTGCTCCTAGTATTAGAGCTGAAGACGTCTAATTCAAAGGTTATTGAATCTGATGAATCTGTAAGGACGTGTCTAGGGCGTCGACGGTGACTGGCTCCTGCATGATCAGGATTCGGGGAGTAGTCAGCGGCAGCAACGATAAGGCGATTATCATGACGCATAGTCTTATCGAAATACCGTTCCGACGCTGACTTCATGTATTTCCTCCGGATATATTCGAGGCCAAGGTTATCGTGTAAGTCAACGTTCCTCACGAACCACAACTCATTAGTATTGTATAACAACTGCTCCAACCCTTAAAGACTGATGGTTTCGTGGTAAAAATATAGTCCGGTCACCGTTCTCGTCGAACCCGTCGCTTGCGACAAAGGGCTCGACGAGCGAATTAACCCATAGACAGAGCCCACTGAGTTTCTCGCCGGATCTTCTCAGAGGGTCGCGTTTCCGATCCGGTGGTAGATTCTGCGATGCACTGCTCTTGCTAAAGTCAGTGTTAGCAAAACTCCGGTTTGAGCCCCGTGAGCTCACCTACAAACGTTAGGGTGAAGCTGAAATAGCCTCTCAAGGCTATCAGCATAAGTAGGAGAAAAACAAAAAAAAAAGTAAAAATATGATCGGTGTTATATTAATGCACGCAATCAGTCCTTTCATTCGTAGTATACTGAAATAGACAGCTGTTGTACAAACACTGAGATGTGGAACATGTGTGATTACTATAGATATCAACAACGAAAATGCTGCAACCCACCTTGAGATATAAGTTCTTAGGTCTCAATATAGTTACAACGGCTATCCCACCCTTCAAACCGAAACGCATCAGTGCATAAGCATAATAAGCATAAATGTCATAAAGTTTTATTTAGGACTTTAAGGTATTGTATATACAGGGGTGTTTGATGAAACAGTAAGGTCTTGGTAGGGCGTACAACGACTACTTCACGGCAGAAATAGGCAAGATTTAAATGTGGCGCTGAATAGACGGACAGAAATGACAATAAAAAACATAAATAAAAAACTTGCTTAATCGTTTGATAAAGGAACCCTAAAAACACTGCTTATAAAATTATTTCTTCTTAGTATAAATTTGCGTCCAAAATTAAAATGTTATCATTTTTAACACGATGAGCGAACAAAACAGTCAGAAATACAAGGCAAAGAGGTAAACACATTGTTTTTAAATCACGCTACGAATCTAGCATGTTTTCACTTAAGTAAGTTCTATCAACTTCACTGATTAAGACAAGCTTATTCTCATCACGCCTCCCTGGGACCTGGAAGCGGAGGCGCTCGCTGCGGATTACGCGTGGCGATGCGATCTCCGCTCCAGGGGGGAGCCGCGTCCTGGCGCGGTGGAAGTTCGAGCGCGGAAGCTTCAATCTCGGCGTGCCGTGCTCGAGGCGTGGTCTCGCCGCCTGGCGGACCCTACCTACGGGCGACGGACCGTCGAGGCGATCCGCCCGGTCCTCTCGGACTGGGTGAATCGCGACCGAGGACGTCTCACCTTCCGAGCGACGCAGGTGCTCACGGGACACGGCTGTTTCGGTCGCTACCTGCACCTCGTCACCCGGAGGGAGCCGACGCCGAAGTGCCACCACTGCAGTAGCTGCAACGAGGACACGGCGGAGCACACGCTCGCGTACTGCCCCGCTTTCGCGGAGCAGCGCCGCGTCCTCGTTGCAAAAATAGGACCGGACTTGTCGCTTCCGACCGTCGTGGCTACGATGCTCGGCAGCGACGAGTCCTGGCTGGCGATGCTCGACTTCTGCGAGTCCACCATCTCGCAGAAGGAGGCGGCGGAACGGGAGAGGGAGAGCTCTTCTTCCCTCTCGGCGCCGTGCCGCCGCCGTCGGGCCGGGGGTCGGAGGAGGGCGTTTGTCCAGCTCCAGCCCCTATGAGGAGGCAGTCTCCTCCCGGTGATGGTCACGGGGCGACCTAAGGGGGTTGAGGCTGCGCCGCACGCTACCGTCACTCTAGCGCGCTGGCACCAGGAGGACGGGACGGCGCGTCGGCGGCTGCGGACTGCGATGCGGTCCGCATTTTCGTCGTCGCTGTCGTCGCCGAACATACTGTTGAAGAGCAACCCGGTCGGCGGTGTATCGCGTTCCGACCCGGCAGGCTGGTTCTGGCCCAGCGGGGTATCCCGGAACACCAGCGGCACCGCCCGGGCGGCCTGGTAGGGCCGCCGTACCGCGGAGACTGACGTCGTTGGTCGTCGACTATCGCCTCGACGACCCGTCGGTCGGGCGTCCTCGGGGTGGCGCCGCGTGTCTGGTTGTAGTGTTGACCGCGGGAACCCCCCTACTCTGAACGGGTTCTGACCCCGGACGGAGATCGGACGTCGGGTGTAAGAGTGCAGGGGAGTCGTTTAGTGGGTGGGCCCTAAAATCCTTGGGCCCGCGATCTGCTCTCAACACCTGCAGATCGTTGAGTCTCACATACCCCGCGCGCCCCCTAGGCGCGGGGACCTCGTAGGAGGTTCGGCCTCCGGCCCGAAAAAAAAAAAAAAAAAAAGCTTATTCTCATCACAATTTACCCGGACTCCATGGAAATTTGCACGGTTGCCTGGAAATATTTGTAAAAATTGTCCAAAATTTTTAAATTCACACACACATGTTTTTCCTCTGCGGATTTAAATTACTTGCTACCTTCAAGTGCTGAATGCGTTAAAAAAAGCGAATCGATTCTGTGCAGTGTGCGTGACCAATTATTCATATGGTGTATCAGCATATAGTTGTCCAGTGCTTGACATAGCCCTAAAAAACACCGTGGCCGGTTTTCGGATCTCCATTTGTAAAATGCTTCTATGTGAGACTTTTGTAAATATTTCCTTTGATCAGTCATAGTACCTATACAAATTGCATTCGCCACATATTTACAAATTGATCTGTTACAGTTTCGCAATGAACGATGACGCTGCCTTGTATCAGAAAAGTAATTGTTATCCTAGACGCGACGCTGTTGACGTGTTGACAGAATTCCTACCCAAATTCAAATGGAAGGAAGGCAAAAAGAGGATCTTTGATATCGGCTGTGCCGACGGTAGCGTCACTAATATTATTAGCGCGTTTTGTAACAACGATTACGAAGTGTTCGAAGCGTGTGACATAAATGAACGGTCCGTGAAATACGCTACAGAATACTACGGAACTGACAAAATGATTTTCCGCGTGATGGACATAGAGGGGCAACTGCCGAAAGAGATGAATGGGAAGTTTGATAACGTTTTCTCGTTCTATACGCTGCAGTGGATCAAGAATCAAGAGTGAGTGTTTTTGTTATTACAAATGTTCGAATGTAGGTAGGTAAGCTCACGGGCTCAACCTGAGAGAATTGGTAACACTGGTCCTAGCAAGAGCAGTGCTTCGCTGAATCTACCAACGGATCGGAATCGCGACCCACTGACGAGATCCATCGAGAAACTCAGTGGGTTGAGTCCATAGGCCGTCGAAACCAAGATTATATTTTACAAAAACAGCGCTTTAAGACGCAAGTTGGAATCATAGTAATTCGATAACCTGTATGCCATATTATTGATTCTAGTATGGCACTCTTCATATATTAAGGCAGCCATCACCTAGCGCACACATATAATTTTTTTGTGCGCTAATATGTCAAAATTCATACTTGAGAATTCCTTATCAATTATAGACTAAATAGCATATAACACAAACCTCGTAACTCGGATCATGACGTCGCGATAAAGCGTAATTTTTGCGTCATATTTTTTCTAGAAATTCATATCATCGAAATTCGCAGGAAAGCATATCAAAACATTTACGACTTGATGGCAAAGGACGGTGAATGCTTGTTGACTCTCCTGGCTCGGATACCTGTATACAGCCTCTTCAATGCACTGAAGGATACCGACACATGGGGATATTTGCTTAAAGACATCAATCAATTCATCTCACCTTATCATGATGTTTCCGTAAGTTATAAAAAATATTGAAAAAAAGACAATATACTTTATAGCAAACCAAAACACAATTAACATTTAAAAAAAAAACACTACGTAATTACGCAAATTAATAAGTTTTGCTTGTAATAATAACAACCATAATTGTGTATGTCGTGCGCGAGGTCGAGTTAAGTATGCGGCTGCGGAATATGTAATCTGGAATATTCAGAGAGTCAAATTGATTACGTTAAGATGATTAAAAAAAAACACTTTTTTTCAATATAATGGTTTCCAATCTGGTGACTTTGATGATCGCGTGGCATACCGCAAATAAACATATCGTGGTGGCAAACGTTTAGAAGTAATAGCTGATGTTTTTGACTTAACAGAAAGTCGCTAGCCAGACACACCTAGCATTGGCACAGTGGGGCACAAAACTAAACATGCCTAAAATCCAAACGTCCTCTTCTGACAGAACTTCGAAAAGGCCTGTAGATGTCTAAGATACCTTAAGAGAAATAAACTTCGCTATTACAAAAAAAAAATTCATTTTTAGGATCCAGACGTGATAATACAGTCGTTATTGGAGAAAGTTGGCTTCCAGTATGTGGACGTGCGTTGCAGACAAAAGAAATATGAATTCAAGGACATACAACAGCTGAGAAGTAAGCCTAGTTTGATTATTGTTAGTAAATCCATACCTATTTTGGTGACCTAAAGGGGTCATACTAGATTCACCAAGCAAGTAGATGAGCTCACGGGGCTATAACCTGGTACCGTTGTTAAAACTGGCCCAAGCAAGAGCAATGTTTCGCAGAAGCTACCACCGGAACGTATACGCGATCCGCAAATACAAACACCAGAATGTGTCACATTCTACCACTTTTAATGGTAATATTAAAAACAAAGTGAAGTAAAAACAACTGTCTGTAGATTCAACTTATTTGAAAAAGCGGTGTGCGAACACAAAGAACAAGAACCAAACAAAGTCTCAAATATCATTATTGTATTGCCTCAATTGAGGTTTCGAACTCATGTCTCAAGACGGATTACGGCATTCACGTTGCGACGTCTATGAGCTTCGATAACTACATGTCACCAAGCTGTTCTTCAAGCCATTCATTCTCTTGTCTATGTTTGAAACAAAAAAATATTTCTATTCCACAAAGTCTGTGGAAGAACTCATGGCCTATCTTGTATGAAATTATCTACTGTATTGTATAATGATTGTTCCATCACCTTGGTTATGGGGTTTCACACCCTCCTATCAGTACCTAATTATGCGCATATTGAAAATTATCCTTGTTCGATATTTATTACCAACCACTTTATTATTACATTCGAATAATACAATCTGACACAATTAACATTTTAACATTTACAGATATATTAGAAGCTGTAAGCCCCTTCAATGTGGACAAAGAACTCTACGAGCAATTCTTTGACGATATCATGGAAGTCGCGGAAGATATGAGAATCATTGATAGACGCACAAAGACCGCCACATTTCACTACAATTTAATTGTTATACACTGTAGGAAATGATCGCGAAATTGTGTATTTACACACACATATTATTATCCTAGATTGTCTAGTTCTTATCTTAAATGGTGTCTATCCTAGTGTTTGGCCTACGTGCCTATTCTAACTAATGACTGCTATTGTAGCCCCAGGAAGGGGCGTGTATATAACTTTCAAAGGTTTTTGATGTGACAACGTCTTATAATTCGATGGAGCCGGCTGCACGCACGAAAAAACATGACTCATTGAGGCGTTCCATTTAAGGCTTGAAGTGCAAGCGAGAGCGCGCTACGAGCGACAAAGAGGCACAATCGGCCTCCGCGTTCGGCAGCGTTCGACATCTGTCTCTCTCCTACTTGAGTGAGCGATGCATCCGCGTGGACAGTTGCTATACAATAATACATTTACATGTTTTCGTCAAGTATTTATTCGTCAAGTTCAGTGAAAAGTGAATGTGGTGTCAATTGTACATACAAAATAACTATCAAACAAATAAAATTAAAATTTTCTTTTGAAAAATGAAACCATTCCATCAGTATTTTCTTATGACGTTGTCACGTTCAACTATCGTCAGTAAACCGACCTTACTGACAACTGAATGGATTCTGAAAGCTAATGTAGAAAAAATCATCTCATTTCTTATTAGTCTCAAAAGCCTTATAGGTCGAACTTAAGAGTATAGAATGTTTTTATTTTGTGCTACCTTTTGTATATTTTCCTATAATTGGTACTAAATAGTCTCTCTCTCGAAGCTTGCCAGAACAAACACAGAATCTCCTCTTTTTTCAAGGCAAATTTCAAAATAGGAAATCCATATTGAAATATATTATACAGAAATTCTGTTCGCTAATATTGTTAGTCGGTAAAATAATGAAGTCTATTAAAGAATTATGTTGTTTTTTTTTTCGTCTTTACAACTCAAATATTTCTTCCCACATAAATCATACCCATCCCATTGACCAGTTCGTTTATCTTGGCTCTCTTCTTTGTGGCTAGTAGAAGAATCCAAATGTCCAAAGGAGCAATGACTAAACTCACTAGGATATGGAAAGAGCGCAAATAACCCGCAAAACCAAAGTGAGGCTGGTACGTATATTGGTTTTCTCAACTTTTCTTTATGGTGCCGAATCTTGGACGATAAGACGAAGTGAGAGGGCAAAGATTGACACTTTTGAAATGTGGTGTTGGAGGCGGATATTGCGAATACCATGGAAAGCGCGTCGGACCTACTTATTCTGAAGGAGCTCGGTATTGCCACAAGGCTGTCCGCTATCTGCTTCCAACGTATTCTCATGTACTTCGGCCAAATCGCTCGTAGAGGCCCCGATAACTTAAAGAAGCTGATGGTAGTTGGTCAGGTTGACGGAAGAAGATCACGCGGACGCTCACCTACCCGCTGGCCTGATCTGGTAAAGACGCTCACCGGCCTGCCAATAACCGAGGCTATAAAGACCGCAGAGGACAGGAAGAAGCGGGGAAGCATTGTGCATCGAGTAGTCAAAAACTTAAATTAGACAAGACCTTCATCAATGAACAGACCGACTCAGAAGAAGAAGAAAGCATATATCGCGTGAAAAACGTCTAGGCAGGGGAATAGATAGTCTTTCTATGACACAGTTAATATTATACCTTTAAACGAGCAATTCTTGTATATTAATATATATATAATCTGAATCTCGGAAACGGTTCCAACGATTTTCATAAAATTTAGTATACAGGGGATTTCGGTGGCGATAAATCGATCTAGCTACGATTTATTTTCAGAAAATGTTGTTTCATTCGTGTTTTCAATAATCAGCTTTATCGATAATCAACTTTATGGCTCTTCTCGACATCTATTGGCGAATAATAATACTATTTTTATTGCTTTAAAGACACAACAAGATAGTGTTATAAAAAAAAAGCCGAGCCGTCGTCTAGTTATTATTTATGTAACGAATTTTATCAAGTCAGCTTAGCGGTTTTAGCATGAAAACGTAACAAACAGACATAGCTTCAAACAAGTGTTACTATATTAGTTTTGTGGTGACATCAATTTACGTCCAATATAAAACATCAATCAAATCAAATTTACAATAAATTGAAATCGGTACTGAAACCCGAATTTATCTATATCACTATTTTTTAATTTAATAAATGTGAGAGATTGTATTCTCAAAGAATTAGTTATTTTTGTTGCACAAACAATTTTTATGACCTGAATTAATCAACGGCCGCCTGGTGTTGTGGTAAGTGACATGGTCACTACACAAGGGGGTCGCAGGTTCGAATCCCGCCAAGGTAGGATATTTGTATGATAAATATAAAAATGTTTTTTTCAGGGTTATGGATGTATATTAAATATATGTATGTGTATAATAAAAATCTTACATTTATTTCCGATACCTGGTACCTGTAACACAAGTTCTTTACGAACTTACCATGGGACCAGTTATCGTGGCGTGATTGTTAGTAAATATTTATTTATTTATTATTAACATAATATTGCACCTTAAGATTTGAAATGGCTTAACTAAAAACTTTAAGAAAATGAGTATTATATTTTGAACGACTTATAAATATTTTGTATTCCATAAGTTAATAAAATTTAAATTCTAACTAAACTAATTAACTAAAATTTAAATTTAAATTTTACTTAGAAAAAAAAACAAAATACACTTTCTGTCTCTTTTAAATAAAGCGTATACCTTAAGCTTTAAGACTTTAAGGTATGCGTTTTAAGATCTAAAGTATTAAAATTAAAACTGAAATAATACAATTCTTCAATTAAATTTTTGGCGTTTACGAAAAAAAAATAATTTAGGATTAAGCCACTTCGATTATAAATGCGGTATATCACACTATTTACCATGGTACATGTACATATAAACCTTGATAATAAATAAGACAGTATAAATGCGATGTATGTACGTCGGTTCATGATTTTACACGCCAAACATCTAAAATTCGACTGGGAATTCAAAAACCAGAGATTGACACCGGCAATTCTTTATCCCGGACAAACGGAGCATGTGGGATATGTCAACTATGAAAAAGAATTCTGATATGGAACAATCATTCGCGGACGTTTAGATAAACGACGAATTCATAGCAATTGAAATTTGATTACCGAAGACCTCCTCAGCTAAAGACGTGTAATTACGTTCTTTCTCAGTTATTACAAAATTTTTACTGGTGGTAGGACCTCTTGTGAGTCCGCGCGGGTGGGTACCACCATCCTGCCTATTTCTGCCGTGAAGCAGTAATGCGTTTCGGTTTGAAGGGTGGGGCAGCCGTTGTAACTATACTTGAGACCTTAGAACTTATATCTCAAGGTGGGTGGCGCATTTACGTTGTGGATGTCTATGGGCTCCAGTAACCACTTAACACCATGTGGGCTGTGAGTTCGTCCACACATCTAAACAACAACAAAAAAATTCGATAGTTATTATGCAGCAATTTCCTGTGAAAAGTTTTAGTGTTTATATAGTTAAGACAATCTACTACTTATACAACTTTACGGTAGGCACGGGTTTGGCTCTGCTCTGGCATTGCTCACGTCTATGAGCGACGGTAACCACTTACCACCAGGTGTGATGTATGCTAGACTCGTCTTTTTTTATTGCTTAAATGGATGGACGAGCTCACAGCCCACATGGTGTTAAGTGGTTACTGGAGCCCAGAGACATATAGAACGTAAAGGCGCCATGCACCTTGAGATATAAGTTCGAAGGTCTCAAGTAGTTACAACGGCTGCCCCACCCTTCAAACCGAAACGCATTACTGATCACGGCAGAAATAGGCAGGGTGGTGGTACCTACCCGCGCGGGCTCGCAAGAGGTCCTACCACCAGTGAATCGTCTATCTCGTAGATACAATAAAGTGCTCATGTAACTTCGACTGCTTCGTCTTAAGAATAGGCAGAATTGTGGAACCAATAGGGGTTGACAAAACGAATGACTTTTTTAACAATATATTATTCCTTAATCGTAGGAGTTGCTCGTGAATATGTCGTACGTATTTTGATGTGAAACATCTATAGCCGCACGTAAAACCGATTTCTGGCGTGACGACGCATGACGTGGCGACGCGTCGCCATGCGCAATCGACTGTGCGATTCTCTCCCACTCGATCCGGCGTTAAGCCATCTCTCTCGCTACACTGAGCTCGGATACTCCGTAGTGTATATAGTGTTGTTTACTGCAGTACACATAACCTGTGTTTTACTTGAAAACAAATTATTTTTTCGTAATATTTTATTTTATCATTATGACATATTTAGTTCCTATCACAATCTGTTCTTATCTGCATATTACTTTTACAAAATAATGCCGATGTTTCACATCTGCCAGGCGTCCCGTGACGGCTCACATTTTTTTATAGATAAGTTGGTACGTGCAGGACAGTCGAATCGCTAATCACGAGCATACTAGGTACCGTATCTTCTAGACCCCGATAAAAACTTTGCACTGGAAATTTTGTAGGCAGTGGTTTGGCTCTGCTCCTGGGTTTGCTGATGTCCATGATCGACGGTAACCACTTACCACCATTATTTAGGTCAAATCCTCAGACCTAGACTATCTCGTAGATACAATAAGGTGCTCATGTAGCTTTGATTACTTCGTCGTAAGAATAGGCAGACTTGTGGAACCAATACGGGCTGACAAAACGAATGACTTTTGATACAAGATACTATTCCTTAATAGTGGAAGTCGCTCGTGAATATGCCGTACGTATTTTCATAGATAAGTGGTTTGAAGTCGTCGTGGCCTAAAGGATAAGACGTATGGTGCATTCGTGTTGAGCGATGCACCGGTGTTCGAATACTGCAGGCGAGTACCAATTTTTCTAATGAAATACGTACTCAACAAATTTTAATGTTCACGATTGACTTCCACGGTGAAGAAATAACATCGTGTATAAAAATCAAACCCGCAAAAATTATAATTTGCGTAATTACTGGTGGTATGACCTCTTGTGAGTCCGCGCCGGTAGGTACCACCGCCCTGCCTATTTTTGCCGTGAAGCAGTAATGCGTTTAGGTC